AAAGGAAAGTAGGAAAGTGTGGAATGTTGTTCAGGCCAGTGTTCCTCTGAGCTCGCGGCTAGCCCTAACCGATCTTCTAAGGGGCTGGATACTCTGGAACATAAAGGAAGGCAGAGACACCGATGAGGTTTTAGTAACGGAGTCGGGGTAGACGTTAGGAGACGGAGAATAGGATAGATTTGGAACAACATATTAAGTATGGGGTACATCTTAATAAAGCTTTCATGTTACACCAACAAATTTTATATTCCCAAAAGGGTTTAACCCTCATTCACATTTATAAGTTTTTAGATTAGATTAGATTTAGATTAGATTTATATCACTTAAGTAGCTAGCAATCTTATCCTGAAATCAATAAATCTATTTTTTGGACTTTTCCACTGTCATTTATGAATGATTTCAAAACTTGACGCAAACAACTTTCCATGTGAACATATTTATTGATCACTGATCCGGTTCTACAAGTGATTAAAGTTAAAGCACTAACAACAACACCGACCAAAGTCACGAAACTAAAATAATAAGTCTCCTTGAAACAAAAAGTAATATATACAAATCTACAAAAATAAAAAGTGTAGAAAAATAGATAAACTCATAGTTTTTTATGAAATACTGAACATGTATCATATCATTGTATCTCACAGATAGGAGCAGATGAACTGATAATTTCATATGAAATACTCCATGGTCGCTCATGAATTAAAAGTTGTTCTATGAATACTCTCTTTTTGTATTATATACCTAGTACGAAGTATATGGTAGATCAAATGATCAATAGAGAACTTCAAATAAAAGTGTGTAAATAAACACGAATTTAATTAGTATATATAAGAAATATAACTTGTACTAGTATATTGTTTACATTGCTCTTCAACCAAAATTTGTCTTTGTTTTATAATGTCTTATACTAGTATATAAATAATACGGAGTAAATAATAAATAAATATAATAATTATAATAATTGTTATCATAAGATGATTAACATCATACCAAGAAAGAAAATCGCACTTTTAGTCCTTGAAATAGTCACGAAAATGAAATGTCGGACCCGTATTTCTGGTATTGTAAATGTCACCCCTCAATTGTCCAAATTGTTGTAAATATGGTCCTTTAAGGGGTGAAATGTACTCTCGCCCACATTGTATATTTCACCCCTAAAAGGACCACATTTACAGCATTTATGACAATTGAGGAACGACATTTACAAACTTGGGAATACGGGTCCAACATTTCATTTTCGTGACTATTTCAGAGGCTAAAAGTGTCATTTTCCCTGCCAAGAATTGATCAATGGTAAGATCACGTGACAACACTCCTATAGTCCTATGTACTCCCTCCGATTAAAAAACAAGTTCCACCTTTCCTTTTCGGGCAGTTCCAAAATTAAGTTCCACTTTCAAACCTTTTCTTATTTGGCAAATTATCTACATCAAAACAGTCCAAACAATGTCAAACAGTGCCAAACAGTGTCCAAACAGTGCCATACAGTGCACTCCACAGTAAAGTCAAATTTCTTTTCTTAATATGTGTGAAGTCAAATGTTAAACTTGTTTTTGAATCGGGGGGAGTAGCTATGGAGTACGTATACCATACACCCGGCTGTACGGGTGGGAACCGTACAGCCAGGTATTTTTGTAATTTCCCTAAACTTTCGGTCCATTTAATTTTTCTTTTCATGAGCCATTTAACTTCAGACGTTGGGTGCTTGCTACGCTGGGTGCCTGCTACGCTGCCCACGTGGCTATGTAATTCAGATGTTGCCCGCCCATGTTCTTTTAACTTTACCTTGCTTCACTTCAATTGACTAGTCTTTCTCATTCTCTTTATCATATCGCTTATCATCGCCATGCTTATTCTTCATCTTTTTTTTTTCTTTTTTATATATTTATAATTCTTAATTTATATCAAATTAAATCTTACAAATTTCGAACAAATTATTTAATAAATTATCAATAAACAAATCTATAAGAATTCTAACAATTTTATATTAAGTTTCGTAATATTACATTAATGCACATTTATGTTAAACATTATGCTCATATTACTATATAAAAAAAATCATTTCATTCTACTAAGCATTAAGAGTTTAATAATGAGCATCGTGACCTCTACTTTATATTTTCTAATTCACTTTTCGTTCTTCTTCTTTTTTCTTTTATAAAAATTTATTGGATTATATTTATAATCATTTTCTATGAACTTCAATATGAAAATTTAGTACTCCGTATAATATTGTACTTTTAAAATATGCATTGATATGACATTTTTAAAAGAAATACGTAACTTAGAAATACGTATGCATTTATAAAATATGCATTTATCATGATCTGTGCTCCCATATCTAAAATCAACTTCCACGTGAATCTAATGTAATATGGTACTTTAGAAATACGCAATCATAATACATTTTAAAATGAGCATAACATCAGTATCAAATGAGCATACGTAACTTACAAATGAGCAATAATGATATGAAAATCGTAAACTTGGTTAATTGAAATCAAAACATTTTCATTGAGCATCAAATTGCGTATCATGATATTTGCCCTCGTGTATATAACCAACTCTTATACGATTATAATGTAATACGATACTTTTGAAATATGCATTGATATCACATTTTAAAAATGAGCATAACATCAGTACCGATTGAGCATATGTGGCTTACAAAATAAGCTTTAATATGAAAATAATAAGCTTTATTATTTGAGCATTAAGATCTCTACTTTAGTGTTTATAATCAACTCTCATGCAAATCTAATGCATATGATAGTTTTGAAATATGTATTGATATGACATTTTAAAATGAACATAAAACAAATACCAGATGAGCATACATAACTTACAAAATGAGTATCAAAAAATTCAAAAGCCCGTTTGAACTTTTTAATGTGTTCAAATATTCATTTGTGTATGCTCATTTCTTTTAATAGTTATACTCATTCGAAAATAACATAAACTCCTTTCTATAATAATGTACATCTAGTAAGTAGATTCGTTATTAACAATTTAATAAACTGTGATTAAATATTTTCTAATTCACTTTCGTTTTTTTATTTTTTTTATAAAAACTTATTAAATAATATCAATAATCAAATTCATATGAACTTCAATATGTGAATCTAATATAATATGATACCTTTGAAATATGCATTGATATAACATTTTGAAAATGAACATAACATTAAAACCAATTGAGCATATGCAGCATATAAAATGAGCATTGAGATATACTTCGTATGAAAATAGTAAGTTTGTTAGTTGAGAATCAGAGCATTTTAATTGAGTATCAAACCTCCGACATTGAGATGAAAATCACGATTTCTAGTGAATGAGTATTAACGAACTGTTAATGAGCATCAGACCTATTATGTTGAGTATTAAGCGTCTAATATTCAGAATCGTGATCTCTGCTTCATAACTTCTAATTCACTTTCTTTTTGTTATTTTTTCTTTTATAAAACTTATTAAATTATATTTATTATCAACTGCTATGAGTTTTAATTTGTGAACCTAATGCAAAATAGAATAGTACTTTTAAAAAATACATTGATATGACATTTAGAAAAATGAGTATACGATGAGTACCAGATGAGCATAGTAACTTACAAAATGCGCATTGATATGAAGATCGTAAGATTTGTTAGTTGAATATCACGACATTTTCATTGAGCATCAAACATCCTCTATTGAGATGAAATTGACGGTTTCTATTAAATGAGCATTAATTAAGTTTTATTGAATATTAGACCAATAATTATGTTGAGTATCAGGAGTCTGATATTGAGCATCGAGATCTCTGCTTCATATCTTATATTCACTTTCTTTTTCTTATTTTTTCTTTTATAAAAATTATTAAATTATATCTATAATAAACTCTTATGAAACTTCAATATATGAATATAATGCAATATAGTGCTTTTGAAATATGTATTGATATGACATTTTAAAAATGAGCATACATGAGTATACATTGAGCATATGTAACTTACAATATGAGCATCGATATGAAAATTATAAGTTTTTTTAACTGAGCATCAAGACATTTTCATTGAGCATCAAACTTCTTCTATTGAATATTAGAAACATGCAATAGAGTATCAAGGTATGTGCTCGATCTAGTATCTATAATCAACTCCTACGTGAATCTTACGTAATACGATACTTTTGTAGTATGCATTGATATAGCATTTTAAAATGAGCATAGATCCAGTACCAAATGAGCATACAAAACGTAGCAAATGAGCAATGATATTGATAGAGTACCAAATAATCTATCAAATATGAAAATCATAAGATTTGTTAGTTGAGCATCAAAACATTTTCATTGAATATCAAACCTCTTCTATCGAGTATCAGAAACATGCAATTTAGTATCATGGTCTATGCCCCCATGTGAATTTAATATAAAGTTTTTGAAATATGCATTAATATGACATTTTAAAATGAGCTAAAAACCAGTACCAGATGAATGCACGTAACTTACAAAATGAACATAAAAAAATTCAAAAGCTCGTTTGAATTCTCTAATGTGTTTAAATGTTCATTTTTGCACATGTATCATTTCTCATTTTAGTACGGAGCATAACACAAAATTCATGTTAGTAATTAACACACAATATTTAATAAACTAATAAATATTCATCTTAAATTAAAAATAGAAAAATAAAAAATAATACCTAAAATGTTTATAATATACATAAATAAATAAAAAACTTAATTTAGACGTTTGATTGGAAAAGGAAAAAAAACTAGGACATTAAATAATATATTTATAATATTTTATATTATACTACGTATTGAATATAGAATGAAAGTGGAAGGTTTGTTTTTTAAAGCGATGAAAGTGGAAGGTTGCTAGCGAAAAACAACCAGAAAAGAAAGGAGAAAAAGCAATATAAAACAAAAAACAAAAACATACGAAGCAGCAAACAATAAAAACAAAAAGTAAACTGAAAACAAATGAGAACATACGATCATAGCAACACTAAGCACGGAAGGTGGGACTTGGGAGGAGTCTGCAGCGGAACGGATGAAATAGAATGTCAATCGTACAAATGGATGCCTGTACTTTAAAACAATTACAAATGGATGTCTGCACTTTAATAGGTACATCCGGGTATACCTTATAATTTCATGTAACTATGAAGGATGATCGTAGGGTTCAGGCATGAGAGGTGACAAAGTTTTAAGGTCACTATGCATAAACCCGAAATTCCGAAGGACCTGATTGTCGCCAAAATTCAACGCTCTCTCCATCCCTTCCCAGCAAGAGTCGCCGCCGTACTCCAGGTTGTGGTTCCCACTACACGGTTGACATCCCGTGAAGTGCGTTATGAACGGCCGCCTCCACCGGCCCTTCCGCTCCCCGCCTTCCGCCACGTGCGGCTCCCACGCCGCCGCGTAGCTCTCACTGACCGCCTCCGCGTGCCTCCGCCGCAGCGACGGCTCTCCCCTCTCGATCTCCGCGTACCTCGCCGTGATGTTGTCCAGCCTCCCTACGATCTCGACCCAGTAGCCGTGCAAAGAGTACTCGTTCTCCACGTAAATCTTGTCCGTCCATTTCTTGCCTCCTTTCAGCAGGAGGTAAACCAGCCCCGACTGATCGTCCGATTCCGGGAACATCTTGTCCTTCAATGTGGACCGTTGGATCTCGCCCCATTTTTCGTAATCGGGAGATTGTGGGCCCATTTTCGCCCATTCGTCTAAAAACCCCATTGACCACTGGCAATTCCTGATCAGAAAAATCCCGGCGTTGACCGCCACCCAGCTCTTCCTCACAACCGCCGCCGGCCAACCGTGGACGACGAAATTGTGGTTCCGATACCTCTCCAGAGGAATCTTAAAATCCATGTCGGTGAAGATGGCGTCGGAGTCCATCCAGAGGACCCACTCTGTTTCCGGGTGGGCCAGCATTGCCGCCCGGACCAGAGGAATCTTGGCCCAATAAAACCGCATCTCCGGGTGGAAGAAGGCGTTGTTGTAGAAGATATCGTGGCCGTGGATTCTGCAGTAGTCCACCTTGTTCTTGAAGCACCTCAGGAGCAGGTGATCGCCGGCCGGGTTCTTGCAGGGGCCGGGCTTTGATCCGGTGAGGAGGAGCACACGGTTCTCTACTCCGGCCGCGAATGAGGGGTGGAGCTTCAGCCACTCGGACCTCTTTCCGTCCCAGTCAACGATGGGTCTATGTCTATTGATGGTGTAATTGAGCTCTGGGTCGTCGTAAAAGGTCTTCTCCGGTGGGTCGGAGCTGCGGTCTACGGCGGATCGGTCAATGGAATAGATATGTTCTGTCAGTTTTGATCTCAGGGAGTGATCGGTGAAAGACCAAACGACAGAAACTAAAGAAATAGAGACAAGTAGGGTGAGAGTGACTGACTTTTCGCGACTGAAGGAAGACTGGTTGGCCTTCTCCGCCGTGGTGGCGGTGGCGGAAGCCATGGCTAACGTGTCCCGAGAAAGGAAGGAGGGAATTAAGAAAAGAATCCGGCTTTACCGTTTTTGTTGTCGACAATATTAGAGCATCTTCAGAGAGTGTCTCTTGATTTTTTTAATATATGTTTTTTTTTTTGGAAGATTTCGGCTTAGATCCATAACAGATAATTCAGAGTATGAGTCAAATGACAAAAAAAAAATTGACAACCGTTATCTCGCGAATCAGGCTCGGAATTAATCGTCGAAACAATATAATTCGCTGATCTATAAAAGGGAATCCAAAAGCCAAAAACGGTCACCATATTCCTCTCATCCCCCATATCCAAAATCAACGTCTTACAAACTAGAAAATAACAGAAAAAACAAATTCCCAAACAAAAATAACAATTACCGAAATAGCAAATAAAGCAAAAGAAAAAACACTTCCGAGAACATGTTGATAACTTGATATACTACTCCGTAAATTATATGGTACAGCCGGCTGTACCGTGCGCACGGTACATCCGGCCCTTTTTGGCTCTGGGCTTCTTCCTCGATCTTGCTCTGGCCTTCGATCGATCTCGCTCAGCCTTCTTCCTCGATCGATCTTGCTCGGCCTTCTTCCTCGACTTCGCACCCAGCTTCGCACCAGTCTCAAATGTCGTCTGGTTCTTCCATCTGCTTCGCACCACTTGTCTCTTTCTCTCCTAGGTAGTTGCCTCTCACAGCTGATCTCCTAGAATGGGCACAACAGATTTCCTCTGTCTTTCTTTTCACTCTTTTCTTTTTTCTCTTTTTCTTATTCAATTTTGGTGATTGAGATTGAGATTGTGATTTTGGAAGACAAAGGGATCCTACTGCAGAAAAAGGAAGTCCCTACTACTATTGATCTTTTAAAAAACTCAAATGAGTATACACATTAAAAAAATGAACATACACAACTGAATATTAGACACATTAAAAATGAGTTTTATATTAAACTCAGATGAGTATACGCCTCAAAGAAATGAACATACACAACTAAATATTAAACACATTAAAAATGAGTTTTATGTTAAACTTAAATGAGTATAACGCCAAAATCAATGAGCATACACAAAATGAGATTTTGAATTTTTTGATACTCATTTTGTAAATTATGTATGTTCATTTGGTACTGCTTTATGCTCATTTTAAAATGATGCACATATCAAATATAACGCCCAAAATTAATGAGCATACACAAATGAGCTTTTAAATTTTTTGATACTCATTTTGTAAATTATGTATGCTCATTTGGTATTGCTTTATGCTCATTTTAAAATGATGCATATATTAAATATAACGCCCAAAATCAATGAGCATACACAAATGAAGTTTTGATGTTTTTGATACTCATTTTGTAAATTAGGTATGCTCATTTGGTACTGGTTTATGCTCATTTGAAAATGATGCACATATCAAACATATCATACTACAATAGATTGACATATTGAAATTAATTACAAACACAATTTAAGAATTTTTTAAAAACGGAAATTAATAAAAAGAAATTGAATTAGAAGGTATGAAGCAGAGACCACGGGTGCTCATAGTTAGGCTCTTAATACTCAGAAGAACAGACTCGATGCTCAATAAAATTACATCAATGCTCATTTACGACAAATCGTGAACTTCATCAAAATTACAAAAATGCCACCGGCTGTACGGTGTCCAGCCGTACAGCCGGCTGTATGGTATACGCTTCCATACTACTCCGTGTTGTACTCGTACGCAATTAAGCAGTAAAAAATCACTTTTCCTTTGAATGGGATCATGTAGATTTAGATTTTCTTCTTATAAGAGATTTATTTAGTGGTATTAACTATTAAGAGAATGAAAAGTATGAAATTCCTAATCGAGAATATTTATTCTTGTTTAGATAATTTTCTCTTTCCTAAAATAATACCAAAAATAAAATTTATACCAAAAATATGATTGAAACTAATATAAGTACTCTGTATAACATCATAACCACTATGGTGTAAAATTAAATATAATTCTATTCACTAAAATTTACTAATATAATTTTTTCTTTAAAATCACCCATTATCACCATTTATCCATATAAATGCGTTATTATTTCTACGAAAAATTCATACAAATAATTTTTGTGATCTTTCCTGCAGTAGTATTGAATAAAACGTAGGAAAAAATGTGTTTAAAGTTAAATTTTAAAGGAAATTGCAAATCTATATTGATTCAAAAAGTCATTGGTCAACTGTTTAAGAATACAACAAGGAGCCAGAGTCATAAACAACTCTATCATTCGTCATAGAAAGGACAACCCCTTTCCAATTAACTTCATTTATGGCCTTCCAAATACTCGAACGATGTTTTCTTTTAGACTCAATTTTGTTGGTCTGGTCTGTTTAAGTCTGGTATGGTCTGGTCTGGTGTGAACTGGTCTAGTAAACGTCTGGTCTCTGTGTATTTTATAACTATAAAAGTCTGGTCTGGTCTGATCTGTTTAAGTCTGGTCTAATCTGGTCTAGTCTGTTTAAGTCTTGTCTGGTCTAGGACTGAAAACAGTCCAAAAGAAAACATTCGAGAGTTAGATTGGAAATAAAATTTATTAGGAGTAAAGGGTCAGTTTGGTCCTCAAAGTTGCAAAAAAGGGGTCAAATAAGTCCTTATATAGAAGATTCTGTCCGGACGTGCCATTTGAGGTGGCTCCCGATAGAATTTTTTGATGAAATTTTTTGAGCATCTTATTCATTAAGTCTAGTTTACTCATACCAAATTTCAGCTAACAATTCAATCGGGGAGACATTCAAATGAATTCTTGAAGATAACTGCGCTTTTAACGGCATAGTTATCTTCAAGAATTCATTTGAATGTCTTCCCGAATGAATTTTTATTTGAAATTTGGTATGAGTAAACTAGACTTAATGAGTAAGATGCTCAAAAATTTTCATCAAAAAATTCCACCGGGAGCCACCTCAAATGGCACGTCCGGACAAAATTTTCTATACAAGGACTTATTTGACCCCTTTTTTGCAACTTTGAGGACCAAACTGACCCTTATCCCTTCCTAGATTATTACAAACCTCGACAGTCCTGCATTAAATACAAAGCACTCTCTTCTTCCACCTGACAAAGGCGACATTCCACCAGTAGGGCCATGTGCCTGCTCCGTAGATTGACCGGTGTGGGCAGTACATTGGTCATAAATCTGCCATAAGAAGTGTTTTATTTTTGGGGGAATAAAAAACACCCAAATATAGGTCCACACTGACCAGCCTGCTAAGACCCAAAACTCCCCACTTCAATTTTCCTATATCCACTCTTGATCGTGTACCTTTCGCGTGAATCGCCATTCCACAAGTAGCCATTCAGCACAAACTTTTTAGTAATAGGAATAGTCTCTACATTCATGGCAAACATCCTGGTAAGTTTTGGAGATGTGACCATATTGCTCCCCGAACCTGGTAACCAACTATCCTGCCAGATTGAAATATTGATTCATTTGGCAACTCCCCACCAAGGCCCTTCGTTTATCAGCCCCCCCGAGCCTCAAATAACACTCCTCCAGATAAAAAGATAGATAACTCCATATCTTAGCATTCAGAAATGAGGAATTAGGTTAATACTTGGCTTTGAAAATTCTGCTTACCAAGGATGTGGAGTCTATAGTTAGTCTCCAAGCTTATTTACCTGTCATTTCTATTTTAAACTCTCTTAAAGATTTGTACCCTAATCCTCCCTGTTATTTGGAGGCACAAAGAGCCTGCCGACTCCTCCAGCGGATACCTCTCTCAGTAATATTTCTTCCCCGCCACCAATAGCCATTGTTTACTCTCTATATCCGCACACAAATCCAGTAGGAGAAGAAAAACATTCATCGCATAGGAAGACATTGTTTGAATAACAATTTTAGGAGAACCTCTCGATCTCCTTGTTTTCGAAAGCAATTTATTGTTCCACCACTGTATTTTTTCAAAATTTTATCCCTAAAATACCCCATAATTTCAACCTTACGCCTGCCAATCAACGTTGGCAACCCTAAATACTCGGGGTTCTAACCCTTCATAGACAATCCCAATATGTGGCATGTATCGGTTTTAACAGCATCATGAACATTTGGGCTTCAGGAAATACTTGATTTAGAAAAATTAATTTTCTGACCTGACCTAGCCTCATAGTGCTTCAATATTCCTTTGACTTCATAACACTGCTCCTGATTAGCCCTGAAAAAGGAAAGCTATCATCTGTAAACAAGAGATGAGATACCCGCGATTAGGGTTGTGCATTAACCGGGTCGGACCGTATTTTAGACCTGAACCGGACCGGAATGACCCGGTCCGGACCGGACCGGTATTAACCGGTCCGGGTTAATACCGGTCCGGGTTTTGGTCCTTAGTTTTTCAAGATTCCGGGTTTCCGGTCCGGTCCGGGTCAAACCCGGAAAAAACAGGTTCGGACCGGAATAGACCGGTAACCTATTGTTCCATAAAATATATACTTCGTTTTGAATCATTAGTCAATTTATATTTGGCTTACTACTATGTTTATGGCTTATTTTTGCCTTTTGTTATATAAACGAATATATACGGAGTGTGTATTTGGTGTCTAATTATTTCCTAAGTTGTTTATAATTTTTTTATGTAGCAGGTCCTAAGTTTTTTATTGATCGTAGTTTATATTTGTTTGATTTTTCCAAATCGCTTTTTATTTGTTTCTTTATTTGCAGGTGTGTATGTAGTTTATATGTAGTGTATTTTTGGACGTAATTTAGTTTTTATTACTCCACAATAAATTTTGCCAATTTAGTACACAAAAGATTGTAGTTTTAATTATTGTGGGATACTAATTGTTACAATTGAATAGTTTTGATGACTATATTCCAAAATTAATAAATGAGCTAAACAATTATTTAGTCTATTTCGCATATCCGCATATAAAATTATAGTTTGAAACAACAACAATAACAACATCCAAGTCTTATTCCTAAAAAATTTGGGGTCGGCAAAGAACACTCTAAGATAATACTCCGTATGTCTTTTTTTTAAACCGGGTCAATTAGGGTCAAACCCGGACCGGACCGGAAAATTCCGGTCCGGACCGGTCCGGACTGGTTAGATTCAGGTCCGGTCTTCGGTCCATAGAAAATGATGATTCCGGTTCCGGTCCTAACCGGTTCCGGTCCGG